CTACGATTAGGGCAACTATAATAATACCAACCAGCTTGTGAAAAATCGGCTTGGATGCCGATGCTCCACAAATAAATTGAATCTTGACTGTATGTCAACTCACAAATGTATTCAGTCGTTTGCTTCTAGCTATTTCGATTGTATCGCAGGAATGGTCATGGGATACTTTCTACAGTATTCAAACCGCACCTGTACAATAGATCCTCATGACGCTAGTTCCAAATCATGATTGTATCGCCGAGAATGTGTCACGATCCTTGCAACTTTGTCAATTTTGTCGTTGGCTTCCTACCACGATCATGTGTGCTTCTTCCCAGCTTGACAAAGGTACGAAAATCTGTCTTTTGGTTTTTCCATAGTCGAATCCCTCTGTCTGACTTGGTATGCAGCGATTTGGTGTTTTCTTTCCATAATCTTGCTCTGATACCAATTTAATAGGTTTCTCTATAGAAATTAGGACAAAACAAATATTTTATTTTTCCAAAGAGAACAATACAACGACAAACATATAAAATAAAGAATAAACACCTACAATTCGAGAGGTAGACGATCTCTCCCAATTCCTATAATTGGAGAGGTAGGAAATTTCTCCCAAACCCTAAGCCTAAGACTCACAACAATAATCTCACCCTAAATATATTAGCCCTTTTTATACTAAATAATAATAAATAAAAAAAAATAAAATGGCTTTTAGGCGCACAAAAGACAGAATTGCCCTTAGGCTAGACACCGACGTAATAGATTCATAAGCCAACTCCAAGTAATTAAGGGCATATTTGGGGCAACTGAAGCTTATTAAAAAGCTGCTGCGCAAAAGTTCGTTGCTTGTTTATTTTTCTGCAGTTTTGAAGCAGTTATGCTGCAGCTATTTCTGAACAATCTACCTTGCTGCCCCTGTACTATAATGTTGTTTATAACAGAATTGTTCATACTAACACGTTTCATACTTAAAAGCAAACATCTAGTTTGAACGTTATAAAATAAAAGCAGACATGCCGCAAAACTGTGAGTAACGCGATAATCAAAATAAAAAAAAGACAATTCAATTAACAATTAATAATATGATAATATTATTTTTAAAATGCACTTGGTTTATGTCATGAGATGAGTCATTCTCCAAGGAAACTTTTCACGCCCGATCACTGTCGCCAGTTGATTTCTCCAACCCATCTACCCACCTAAAGAAGTCATAACTTTCTATTCTTCTCATCGACACCTGCAAAATTGTGGCTGTTGTGAAGTAAGCTGAGTACATTTAGTTTATAGTAGCAGTACAATGCTCTGGAGGTACCGGAAGTCCTCGCGCTCATCATTTCTAAAGTTTTAAAACAACAAAACACAAATCCTTAGAAGCAATATTGGCGAAAAAATATTATAATTAATCAATGCAAGTTTTATTAAATCGTGAGGTCTCATAGAACATAGTATAAATCAACGAATTTGTCTCTACAAGAAGACAATAGACCTTATAAAGAAAAGAGTTTTTGGTTGCTTTTAAACCATGTACGTGTCACATATGCATATCACACAAAAAAGAGCTATCCAGAAGAGCCTCAAAAGCATTAACACTGAAAAAAGAGAGGAACTTGGTTGCTTTCAATGAGATTTCACGTGTAACTGGAACCAGCGACATAGACCATCCAGAAGAACCCTTAAGGTCGAATGTCTCATCATTGACCTCCAAAAAATTAAAAAAAAAACATACAATAAATATTTATATTACATATCATATCCATAGTTGCCTCATCGACCATCCAAGTAGGGAAGAATACACGCAAAAGAGTGAGAAATAAAATTAAAATTCAAAATATAGATGATTGAATAAAATATCTATACAACAAATAGTAAAAGTTTTCACCACCCATTGCAAATAAAGTAGAAAAAAAAATACAATAGGTTCATTCAGCAACTAACGATGACTTCTGTAATCCACTTTCTCAACTTTATCATTTCCTCTTCACCTTTCACATCCTCGGTGCAACTCTCAGGTAAGTCATCTTCTGTATATGAAAAAGATTGTCCTAGGTGATATTCGAATGCTTCAGTTAGGACATGTGAATGATCTTTGCTAGCCCTGCTGAAGTCAATGTCAAAGGATGTCTTTGAATATATTTGTGGAGAGCATTTTAGCCACCACAATTTGCACTTGTTTAGGAAATGTATATATCAACATATCCCGCAGTATGACCCATTTTATCTTCCACACTCTGAATGCTCTTTCAATGACATCGCACAAAGAAGAACATCTCTTACTAAACATTTCTTTCATGCCGAGCAATATTGTTGGATCTTTCAAAATCAAGAATGTGATATTTGGTATCCAGAAATGGCTTTAGAAACTCTCTTTGTAAGGGGTATCCAACATCGATTGAATAATATTTATCTGACCAAATTTAGGTAACACATATTAGAATCACCAAATTAGCTACTGCTAGAGCATTTTTTAAACAAGCAACAATCATAAATAAACTTGTAAAAACAAATAACAAATTATAAGACGAAAAAACAAACATCCAAAGTAGCATTAACAATGTCTCAAAGAAAAACAATTATCTAAGGCAAAAACCGAATTCTCCTAATGGAAAAAAAATACAGATAGTCCAATGAGAAATAATGAAATTCAAGCATTCTTGCTGTCATGAAAATAAAGTAAATAGTTGAGCTTAAGTTTAGGGGTCATCTTCATTAAGAACCTTCACGTTATCAAACTGCTGGATGGAAGTTGTTTGTGATTTATGAAGTTCATTGGTGCATGGAGCAACTAGTTGTAAAATTAAACGTCTTTTTTTTCTTTTTCTCAACCCTCGGATGCTTTGATCGATTAGTGGATTCAACTTCATTGATGTTCGGGCATGGGCCTTCTTTGGAGTCAGTTGTTCGTTCGACATCCAAGTTCTCAGCTATGCCTACAATCCCTCGCTCACTAGGGTCCTATGCTTGATCATTTGTTGCCACGACTCCACCAAATAATACAATTCAACTTCTATTCTAGCTCAGGGCCAGCACCACTGAATTTGATTTTTTTTTTGCTGTTGGCACCACCTGCAACGTACTGAGAGATGGATGTGTTGATATATATGAGAAAAAAAAAATCATGTTCTATAGGTTTGATCAGTTTTCACCTCTAATCTTTCAACCCACCATTCTTCCAAAGCACCAATTGTTCGTTTTATCGGATACCAACTCAAGTCAGTGGATCCTCATTTCAATTTTTTTCAAATTTTCTAGTCTTATTTTTAATTGATCCCACTTGTTTTTCAATTGCATTCTATCGTATTCCATTTCTGTAGTTTCCTTGAATTTTTTTCATAATGTTTTGTCAGCCCTTCTTATTATATAGATTGTGGACCTGTTTCTTAATTCCACCTCCCTAACACAGAGGTTGCAAAAAATTAGTTTTGCTTCTTTATTCCACATTGTAGATGAACCGAGCTCTTTTGTCTTAACCATTGTGTTACCAACATGAAAAGAATTAAAGAACATAAATTTTTGCCACAAATTAATTACCACATCTCAAAAAAGAAAGTAACATTGTCATATTGTCATCATCACTGCCCCCCCACACCAAACACCACCACCTCTGCACCACTCGTGCACCACTCGACACACCACTTCCACACACCACCACCACCACCACCCTACACACCACATCCACGCGCCACCACCTCCACACTACACACCCATCACCTCCACATCGCATTCACACCCCACACCAACACCTACATACCACATCTACACACCACCACCTCCACACCACACCATCACCTCCACACCACATCCACACCACACACCACATCCACACCACACACCACACACCACACACCACCAACTCCACGGAACACCTAGCCTTTGACACAACAAACACCACCACCCTACACTCCACACCACGCCACCACCCTACACTTCGCATCACACACCACCATCTCTGCACCGCACACGACCACCTCCGCACAACACACAACAACCTCCGCATCACACACCACATCCACACAACACGGCTCCCCACCGCACCACGCATACCCCATCCACACCACACATGAACACTTCCACACCACAGTTCGCCAACACAACACTAAAAAAGTAGTGGCATCAGAATTTGAAAGCACAAGAGAAACAATAAAAACAAAATATACACAAGAGAAAGCTCATCATGTCACATGAGCTTCTTAACTATGAAGTACAATACCCATGAAATATACATAGCAAAATATAGTGTTATTCATCCATGAAATCAAAAGGCATAGCTTTGTTATCATACAACTCCATCTTTCATCCATTTTTTAAAATATACACAACACCCGAAATGTTGTTATTTTTTTAGCAAAATGTACCACTTTTCATTCATTCTTCATGAAAACAATACACAACACCTGAAACTTTGTTGTTAACAAATTCACCACCATTTTTCAAATTCTTACTCAATTATCATAATTTGTGATAAAATCCAAATCCATATTACCCTAAACATACACATCACCCGAAACATTGATGTTAACAAATTCACCACCGTCTTTCTTCCACTTTTTACATTCTCACTAAAATATCAAATTTTTTGATAAAATCCCGATTAATATTCATAAAATCTGTAGCACCCGAAACATTGCTATTAATAAATATAACACCAACCTTTATCCATTTCTCAAATTCCCACTCAAATATCGAAAGGTACCGGGTAGAGCAAACCACAAACATCCTTTGGGGTGATAGGTATGCAATTATACCAATAAAACCAAAATGAATATAGCAAATCCACAAACCGAACCGACTAAAAGCAAACTAAAGTTGCAAAGCACAAAGCAAACAAAGTGTTGTAGTCACTGGGAACATCCCAAAAAAAGAAAATCTCTGTGCAAACCATACTCCTAACAGAGCAAAGCCATCAAGAGTAGATGAGGGACAGAGGATACTGGAGGAAGAAGGAAGCAAACGCTGGGAAACCTTTGTCACAGGTTTCGGCGAACGAAGAAAAAGAAGAGGAGAAAAAACCCTAGGAATAGCAAATGCAGGATGAGGCTGGGGACAGTGACACACCGCAGACCTTCCGCTGCGCCAAACAGGCCTTAAGGCAAGGTTAATGGTGGCGATAGATGTTTTACAAACTATCTATCTGTGTGTGTTTGTGTGCAATATGCAAAAGTGAAATACGCCGGGAAACCCGAGTTTTCTTGAAGGAAAAACCTCCAATATGCAAAACATTGTATTTTGTATTTATTTTTTTGAATCATGGATGCTCATCATTTCTTGCTATTTTGTTTGAAGGTTCTGTGGAGTTGGCGGCAGCTGGTGTATCGGTATCAATCTTTAATATCATATCAAAGCTGTTCAATATTCCCTTACTTAGTGTCACAACTTCATTTGTTGCCGAAGAAATTTCAAAAAATTCAAGTATGCAGTTTATGTCAGGCAATTGATGACGAACAAGCTCAATGATACCTATGTGAATTAAATATGCCTGATTATGGACCATTATATTTTTAGATAAAGCTTCTCAAGAAGGCTTTTTGGCAAATAAAAAAACTACTCACAACATTGTAGAAAAATTGGAACTACCTTCTGTCTCAACGGCCTTGCTGCTAGCTGCTGTAATTGGGGCAGTTGAAGCTTTAGCTTTGTTTATGGGCACCGGGGCTTTTCTAAATATGATGGGCATATCTCCGGTAAGTTGACAGATTTTTTTTCGTCTGATCTCACTAAATTCTGTGTTTATGATGCAATTTTTTTTCCCTTCTGTGTTTGCTTTCATGTAACTATTTTCTTATCAGAACTCATTAGCACCTTTGAACTTTAAGATCTTTTCCCATAGTTCTGATGGTTATGGAGGGTCTTTAAACACTTAGAATTCTGCAAGCGGAATTTTTTTTGTGAAAAGTAATTGACTTCAATATTACTCCTTCATAAAAATTCGGGGCATTTACATAAATACCACCCAATTCATGTCTTTACATATTATGTAACACCTAAATTTTGCTTTTTACATTTATTCCACCCAAATCTTTCATATCACACCAGAAGTACCATCATTTTAACTTTTAAAAAGTGAAATGCACTTTTTCATGCATAGGTAAGGTGGTATATATGTAAAAATTAAAGTTTTTGATATGTAAATACATAGAAATTGAGTGGTATGTATGTAAATCTTCCTAAAAAATAATGCTTTGTTGTGGTTTTCATTTTTCATGGTGGATGGTTGATCAAGTTTATTCTGGACAGGTTTCACCTATGCATCGCCCAGCCCAGCAGTTTCTTTCTCTAAGAGCCTTAGGGGCTCCCGCAGTTGTTGTTTCCCTGGCTATTCAAGGAATCTTCCGTGGATTCAAGGATACGAAAACTCCTTTGTTTTGTGTCGGTAAGTTAACAACGTAGTTAAATTTGCTATGCTTATACCTTTTATCTTCTATTTGATTCCTTGAAACGTACAATTTAATTAGTCTTTCCCCCTCAAGCGTGAATATTTGATCACCAATGAGATTTTGCAGTTATATTAAATGCTTGGTATGATGTTAGTCATTGCTCATGAATTTGAAACACGGTTTATTGAAAGGGGCATTTACATACATAACACACAATTCTAATCTAAGTACACATCTCAAACCTAAGCTTGCATATTTGCACACCTAGCACCCAAATCTTTAATATCACATAAAAAATAATATTATTATCACTTTTTAAAAGTGAAAAACCCCTTTTATTGCATATGTTTAATGCACCAAAATTCTGCGTATGTAAATATGAAAGTTTAGGTGTGAGATATGTAGATGCATAAGAATTGCGTGCTAGGCATGCAAATTTTTCTTATTAAAATTGCTTGTGTGGATATGCCATTCTTGTTATTCTTATCTTGCATTTCATTGGAACTTTTGCTTTGGTAGTTTCTAAACGACGGATGAACTCAATATTCTATGGCATACATCAAGCTTGTGTCTTGATTTAAGAGAAAGATATCGTGATGTGGAATACTTACCCATGGCTTTTCCTTCTGCGGCTCTATTGCTATGTGACTAACACTCACTAGCTTTTCATTCTGTGGCCTTATTGCAATTTATGCCTTGCTTATTTGGCTCCTTTGCTTTCACTAGCGAGAAGTAAAAAATTGTTATCTCGAGACTACCAAGAGGGAGCACATGTTTTGGAGTTTGGATAAGAGAGAGAAAATATAATGCTATAGTTACTTTAAGATGAAATAAGAGAGAAAATAGCCTATAGAAGGGTAAGCGGAGATTTATAATGATTGGGCATGGAGATCTTACTTCTACTTTTAGTACAATCGAGAGAAAATGTGCACTATATTTGTATGTGTACAACAAAGGTATTTTAGAGTCTTCAAAGAATTTTCTTAAGCCTGCTGAAAAGTGAAGATTATGAAATATAATGATGTTACATTTGAGATAAAAGTGCTGAGCAGGCAATTACATCACGTGGGAAGAAAAGAAAAGAAAGGATAATGACACTTTGATCTTTTGGAGCATAAAGAAGATTTAGTTGCGAACTTCAATGAGCTTTGTGAACTTTGATGAGCATTCATACAAGATTTAGTCATCATTGAGTCATCAAGCTTGGAGAACTCCTTAAAAGCTTGAGGTGACTTGAGAAGTGGTTTCTTTGACAAGGCTGTAGAAGGTGTGATAGAAACTTGTTCTTGTATGAATGCTTGAGTGAGTAGATATGAGCAATAACCTCCAATTTGTATTGATGATGGAGAATGTATAACAACTATGAGTACCGTGGCTTGTAGCTTCATGATGATGTTGACCTTACAGAGTTGAAGTGATATTGGAGTTAACTAAATTGCAACACACAACCCAATTTTATTAATGACTTAAACAAGGTTACAAGGAATGCTCAAAGGAAAGAAATACAACACCCAAAACAAAAACGTAAAACATAGGATTACAAATAAAAACTCGACAAACGAAGACACAAAAAGCTTGACGAAAAGGGTGTCCAGGAGGTGGTGCAAGGCAGGCGGTTGCAGTGAAGGCCAGAGAGGTGTCTCACTACAGTGGAAGGGATGGGCAACAAATCAGCGAGGGTAGGGGCGTTGAACCATAGTTGGAGGAAAGCTGGGAAGTGCAGCGGTGGTTATGGCCCTCAGGGAAGCTATAGGGAGAGTTCGTTGGTCTACTGTTGTAGCAACGCTGTCAAGGGCATTTGTGGTCTACAGGGAAGGAACTGGAGGGGGCAACAAGGCTGGCGGGCTGCTGGGAGGGACGGCCAGGGGCAAGGAGGAGCTGGAAGGGCTGCTGGTAGGTGGTTGACGAGGAAGACAACATCTGGAAAGAGTCCTGAGGGAAGGAGCAGGGTTGACAGTAGTGGAAGAGGGGCTGCCGTGGCTATACAAGAGCAGGAAGGTGGCTGAGAGCAGTGGAAGAGGGGTTTCCGGTGGCTAGATTCTAAAATGGCCGCAGAGAAACGAACGTATGATAAGATAAATGCCTCGTCGAGGTCGATCTACAGTCGGAGCACCACTTGGACCCTTGGAGATAGTCACTACCTCGAACAAGGATCAATCGAAGCACTATCTCGACGTGGGATACAACCCTCAAAGGGTAAATACGAAACTAAAACTTGAATTCATATATTGATCTACAGTCGGAGCACCACTTGGACCCTTGGAGACAGTCACTACCTCGAACGAGGATCAATCGGAGCACTACCTCGACGTGGGATACAACCCTCGAAGGGTAAATACGAAACTAAAACTTGAATTCAGATATCAAAAACAAAACCCCCAACTCTAAGCACATCATCCCCTATTTATAAATAGGTTAGACTTATTTTAAGTAATGAAAATAAGAAAGGAGAACAAAATATAATCAAAATTTTTAGTTTTTAGGAAAGTATTTAAAATAAGAAAGTATTTTAAATAAAAAAGGAGAATAAAGTATAATCAGGATTTCAAATTTTAGGATGATTTAAAATAGGAAAGTGCCAGGAAGGAAATAAAGGAAAGGGAGGAAATGAGAGGAAAGGTAAGAAAATTATAATGGATATTCAGATTTAGGAAAGAGGAATAAAAATATCTAGAAATTCTGATTTGGAAGACTTATATTAGGAAGGTGTTAAGAATGAAAGAGGGGAAGGGGAGAGAAGGCAAAGGAGCGACACCCGCCCTTCATTTGAAGACCGTTCGATCCTCTATAGCCCCCGCGTCATGAAGTGTTGTGACTGGTAGTTGTGTAGCGCCTTGATGAAAGGACAATGAGCATAGCATGCACTTTTGTATAAGCGAATGTTGAATCCAGATATTTGGATATTGTATATGTTTTGACTATATGATGGAGTAGAGAAGCAATTTTTAGTGTTGGCGTCATAGAAGAGAGTCGAGAATGAAAAAATAATTAATGGGTGTGGCCTTTCTGAAGTATCAGGTCCTCTTAGAGTGATAGGTGGATCAATCAATACATGCCCTCCTTACTTTGGCAGTTAATACTTGATATGGACTTTTGGTCTCTCTCTGACATTGATACTCCACACGAAATTCACTC